ATTTACATTTTTGTCTGCAGAATCCCCCTGATTGGCAGGAAATTTTAACCTATTTTCGAGGATCTGAATTGCAGAATTACTTTACTCGAATTCTTGAGGATGATTTAAAGGTGATGGCCATGGCTTAGTCAATGATGTCTTAATGATTTGGACTCTGTGGCAGTGTGAAACTGAACAAATGATTATGTCCTCCTTAATGCCTGTGTGATTTTCCAATTTGGATCTTGTATTTTCTTTCTAATCTTCGTACTTGACCAATTAGGTCATGTGATGTTAGAGTCAGTGAACCTATTTTGCTAGGATTGCATTAAATGAGAAGAGATACAATGATTTGGAAATAGTGCCAGGAAATTTATTATTCAATTGCAATGTTATTTATGATGGATGATCTTGTGGACAACAGTGGATTTAATTTAAAAGTAATGTGTATACAAAACTATACTGAAAACTGCTGAATATGATAAATAAAAGAAAAAAATAATAAAATGAAAAACAATCAACTACGAACATATAGAATTCACCAGAAATATTGCGACTCACAAACTTTATCATGAGTTCACAAGAACGTGGAAACTATCAGGTTCAATTAACAATTTGAAAACAGAAAACAAGACAGATAAATTAAAAATCTAATCCTATTTGCCAGTTACCCTAGGGAGAGAAAGAATTAAAGGAAGAGCAAAAAAACAGAGGAAAAAAATATGTGCCATTGCCTGAGACTGACTTGAGATTGACATGAACTCATCGGAGATGACTGGAGGAGGGTGTTCAGAGGACTGCTGCCACATATCTGGAGTTCTTTTTTTGTGTCTGGAGGGTTATGTGTGGAGTGAGTGGGATGAATGCATTACCCTTCAGAAATGATAGTCACATAGAGTGACTGACTTTTCCTTCTTTTCTTAACCCTTAAACTACTGTTTTTTTTGTCATAGCTGCAATTTCCACCATGGACACCATACTTTGTACAGATACAGAAATTCTGTGATGCCATAATGCCACGGTGCTGCTGTGATCACTATTTTATACACTGTTCTATAATGTACAAACATAAGTGTTTGAACTAAGGACATTGTAATAGTTATATAATATGTTGCAGGCTTTGCAGCACTCTTTATCCATTCTTTCTGAACACTCCCTTTTATCTTTGTTTGACAGGCTAGCTTTTGTTCTACTTACATTTTTCTGAATATATATGTTCATTAACTTTGAGTTATTACTTGAATTTTGTCTTGATAAGATAGTGTAGTGATTAAGAAAGCAATTTTTTCTTCCTGCTAGTATTTATGCTTACTTTAATATTTGGTAATGATATAGGCTATCATCAAGCCTCAATATGTTGACCATATTCCAAAAGCGGTGCAAGGGAATGTGGGTCAGGTGCTAGATCAGAAAGATGAGAGAGATATGAAGAAGGAGCTTTGTGCTGATCTTGAGCTTAATCAGGTTATAGATCGTAATGTTGGTGATCTTTCTGGTGGTGAGCTCCAAAGATTTGCCATTGCGGTAGTTGCCATCCAGAATGCTGAGATATACATGTTTGATGAACCTTCTAGTTATCTTGATGTGAAACAGAGGCTGAAAGCAGCCCAAGTTATTCGATCATTACTTAGGCCTAATAGGTTTGTGCCCTTTTCTCTCATTAGTTCCTGCTTAATATCTTGACTTATATCACGTGTACTTTGCTGAATTACTTCTGACAATAAATATTGAATTTGTCTGCATCTCTTTTCCCAGCTATGTCATTGTTGTCGAGCACGATCTTAGTGTCTTGGACTACTTATCAGACTTCATTTGCTGTTTGTATGGAAAACCTGGTGCATATGGAGTGGTAACACTTCCTTTCTCTGTCAGAGAAGGAATTAACATCTTCTTGGCTGGCTTTGTTCCAACAGAAAATCTAAGGTTCCGAGATGACTCTCTTACCTTCAAGGTATGTATAATCTATGCATTTGAGTGGTGAACATGAAAAGATTCAGCTCTGTAATTGATTTGGTGGTGTTTGTTTCAACATGCCTACATTAAAATTGAGTAAAGAAAGGCTGGAAATAGTTAGCATGTGGGAGGTCACTGAATATATTAAGCAACAATTATTTCATTTGGTGTTGCATCATTTACATTATTAGAATTCATACGATCAGCACCTTAAACTAAATTTATTTTCAAGTATTGTAAGTCAGTGCTTAATTTTTTGATACTGTAAATTTCAGTACTGAATTTTAAAATATAAAATCTTTCAATTTTATTGAACTCATGCTACTCTTGTTGTGTCTAGGTTGCTGAGACCCCACAGGAAAGTGCTGAGGAAGCTCAGACATATGCTCGATACAAATACCCAACCATGACGAAAACACAAGGCAATTTCAAGCTTCGTGTAGTTGAAGGAGAATTTACTGATTCTCAGATTATTGTGATGTTGGGTGAGAATGGGACAGGAAAGACAACATTTATTCGTATGCTGGTAATTCTTTTAGTCACTTTCTTTTTCTTAATAGAAATGAGTAATTCTTCTGCATATCCCTTCACCTCACTTATTTTTATTATTCAGGCTGGTTTATTGAAACCTGACTCCGTAGAAGGGGGATCTGATGCTGAGATGCCAGAATTTAATGTTTCATACAAGCCTCAGAAGATTAGCCCAAAATTCCAATCAACTGTTAGACACTTGCTACATCAAAAAATACGTGATGCGTATACTCATCCCCAGTTTGTATCTGATGTGATGAAGCCACTTCTTATAGAGCAGTTAATGGACCAAGAAGTTGTGAATCTTTCTGGTGGAGAGTTGCAAAGAGTTGCATTATGTCTCTGTCTTGGAAAGGTATTATAAATTTCATCGAGAAGAACTGCTTCAGATTGTTTATGCATCTTAATCTCAATTCTAATGTCTCTATGCTATTTTTCTTTCTTCTTTGCATTCTTGAATACTCTCATAGTTTCCTATTGGCCAGTGATATCAGGCAGGATGTATTTCCATATATATATATATGATGAATGGGTTTAGTACTAACCCTTTGTCAAGATTTTTGGAACTACTTGAATTTGTTGCGTGCTTTCTGTCTCTTAAATGTGTACGGTATGTTTTCAAACTAAAATGCAAAATGTTTCCGGATGCATTACAGTTCTACTAGAGCATCCTGCAGATATCTATGTGAATGCTGTGGGCAGATTTTTGGAACTGTATCACTTGTTTTTGTTTTGTTTTGTGCTTCTCTTTGTCCCATAACATGTTTGCCTCTCTTCATTTCAAACTAAATAACATTCAAAGTTCTGATCCGCCACTTTTCTGGCATAACAGCCTGCAGACATCTATCTGATTGACGAGCCAAGTGCATATCTAGATTCTGAACAGCGAATTCACGCTGCCAAAGTCATTAAGAGGTTTATTCTTCATGCAAAGAAAACAGCTTTTGTTGTCGAGCATGATTTCATCATGGCAACATATCTTGCAGACAGAGTTATTGTTTATGAGGGTCAACCATCAATTGATTGTACTGCAAATTCTCCTCAATCATTGTTGACTGGGATGAATCTTTTCTTATCAGTAAGTTTCAGTACTTTCCAATCGTTCCATTACTTATTCCCTTTTGATGTTTTGTGCTCTGTGCTTGTATTTGCATGATATATCTAATGTATTTTGTCACTTCAGCATCTTGATATCACATTTAGAAGAGACCCAACTAATTTTCGCCCAAGGATCAACAAAATTGATTCAACCAAGGACAGAGAGCAGAAGTCTGCTGGGTCTTATTATTACCTTGATGACTGAGTTTATACTTATGGGCAGGTTCATCCTTGTGCATTTGTTATTTCTCTTAGAATGCTTTTCATGGCAAATGGAAACTGACTATGTTTTTTATTGTTGCAGTTGTTCTTTCACCAACGCAACAGTTTGCCGGTTTGAGCTTTTCATGGGATCTCAGATTTGATTCTTTTGATGCCTTCACATATAAGATTGTCATTTTTTCTATTGAAGGCATCTATCTCAATGGATAGAAGGGCCTGCATGCAGGCCATTTGTTGGTTGGTGTATTTGTATATTTTCCCTAATACTTAGTGCAGTTACTCATCACCAATTTTGGTATGACTTGGTGGGTGAATCTGAATATTACTTGAGTTCATATTGGTAATGGTTTTCATTTGATGTCCCAAATCCAGAGGAACACTCATGATGCCAGATTGAGTTTATAGCCATAATTTATCAGTTGAGTATGTAACGAAGTTTACGTTCATTCCCATGTTGATTTAGATAGACATCTCGTGTTTGAATATATTGTTGAGAGGGTTGATATTTTAATGGATATCTTTATATTTTTAAGATAAAATTGCGGGTGGTTCTTATACACTGTCACGAAATAATTTAAGACTAATCTCTATACCTTCTCAATGGCATGAAATAACTCTGCAAAATGGGTCTCTTATAAACATGATAGATTATAATTGGGTAATATTTTAATTAGTTGACCTAGACAAGTAAAATATACTATATTATAAAAATAAATGAAATAATGGAAGAATAAGCTATTTTAGATGTTTTTCGCGGTTCTCACCCTGCCAGACTATTTTGGTTTGGAGTAACCGTAGTATGCCTTTTTGTAGTTTGTTTTCGGTGACCTAAATTTGTGATTTTATCGGAGAAAAAAATTTTAAACGCATAAATTACAGAATTGAAACTTCCAAAAAAAATAAAACGTCTTGTTTTCTGATGGACTTGTTCCAGTGTGATAGGCAATTGCCGATGACAATATAGATTAGTCATGAAGCATACCCTGTCTGTTGTCAGACACAAATGTACAAAGGTTGTTGAAAAGTTTAATAATTATGAATCGGAATTAAAAAAATCCGAGTGATGTATCATTACATTTAATTTGCACAATGTTAAATGCAGATTTTCATTAATGTGTCTGTTTAATTCTCTTTGCTAGCAGTCACCGATTGCAATCTGTAAACACTACTACATATGCTAATGTCATGGCCTTGTGACATGAAATGGCTCTCTCTTCTTATCCCAAACCAACGTCAATAAGACTATAACCTGCCGGTTTTCTTAATCCTTGGTCCTGAATAGATTGTCTCAAATCATTAGCATCTTTCCAGCTTCCTACAGCAACATACATATTTGACAATGATATGTAATATCCAACATTTTGAGGTTCAAGCTCAAAAAGATGTTCAGCAACTTGTCTCCCCAACTTGAGTTCTCCATGATAGTTGCATGCACTTAAGAGAGTTCCCCATACACCTGAGCTGGCATTGGATTGTAACCCCTTAACAAACTTGTAAGCATCATCCAATCTACCTGATTTGCCTAGCATGTCAACCATATAGACTTGATGTTCAGTCTCAGGTTGTACTCCATATTTCTCCAACATACATTCATAGTACCAAAGACCTTGCTTGACGAGTCCTGAATGGCTGCATGCAGATAAAAGGCTAACAAAAGTGCTTTTGGTCACCGTTTTTCCTGATTCATACATTTCATGGAAGAGTTTGATTGCTTTTTCTCCATTTCCATGATATCCATATGCAGAAATCATTGAATTCCAAGCTGATTCAGACTTCTCTGAATGCCTGAATACTTGGACAGCAGTGTCCAATCTTCCACAGTTGCTATAGAAATCTATAAGAGCTGCTGCTATGAAACAATTATCTTGAATGCAAGTTCTGAACACATGGGCATGAACTTGTTTTCCATGTCTTTGGATACCAATTTGAGTGCAAGCAGAGAGAACACTAACAATGGTGATCTCATTTGGTTCAAATTGAAGATGATGAAATAGTTCCAATGCTTCTCTACTTTCTCCATTATGAGAGAAAGCAGAAATTATGCAATTCCATGAGCATAGATTGGGAATGGAGCAGAGTTTAAACACTACTCTGGCACTGTAGATGTCCTTGCACCTGTCATACATGGTAATTAGCGAGTTCTGAACACGAGTATCTGATGCTAAAGGAGATTTAAGAGCAAGGCCATGGATAGATTTTCCTAGGCTGAATAATTCCAGGTTTGCACAGGCTGACAAGACACTTACAAGGGTTATGGAGTCATAGTTGAAAGGAGTTTCATGTTTCATCAACTTGAAAGTCTCTAAAGCCTCTTTAAAATGTTCAACTCGTATGCAGCCCACAATTACAGTGTTCCATGAAGCTATATCTGCTAAAGCAGAATTCTCATGCAAAATTGAGAAACTGGTTGTCAAATCTCCACAATTGATATACATGTGCATGAGAAAATTTACTATAAGAACGTGGTTCAAAAATCCAGATTTCAACAGCCAGCTGTGAACAGATTTTCCAAAGTGGACACTATTAAGAGAGTTGCAAGAAGAAAGAATAGCAAAAACAGTTGATGAGCTGCAATTTGGACCCCAACGCAGCATCTCTCTAAACAAGATTTGAGCTTCATCAGAATACTTGTTCAAGGAATAGCCAGATATCATTGAATTCCATGAGACTAAGTCTCTATCTTCGGTAGAATTGAACAAGAGCTCGGCTTTCTTCACAAGGTTGCACTTCGAATACATGTCTATTAGGCTGTTCAGCAAATTAAGATGATCAGACAACATATGTCTTCGAATTGCAAATCCATGGATTGTCCTTCCTTCTCTAGAGAGCATCAATTCTGCACAAAGTGGAATTATGGTAGTTAATGTCACTATATCAGGTTGGAAAGACTCTCTTATTTGCATTTCAACCAGAAGATCAAATACTTCATTAATCTTTCCAATTGAAGAAAGTCCTTCCATCATTGCATTCCAGGAAACAATATCTTTGTGCGCTATTTCTCTGAAAACTGTTTCAGCAGATTCCACATCTTCACATTGTGAATATAATGAAATGAGAGAGTTGGAAACCGACAAATGTGAACTGTCCCTGTAACCCAGTTTGATTCCCAGCCCATGAATGGACTGCCCAAAACCCAGTTCTCTCAAACTTGAAGATGCTGAAATAGCACAAGATAGACTGACATTGTCTGCTGTTTCTTCCAAAAAAGTCATCCTTTTGAAGTAACACAATGTTTTCTCAGGATTACCATTGTAAATACTTCCACTCATTATTGAATTCCATGAAACAACATCTTTATATTCCATTTCTTCAAATAAACACTCCGAAGAGCTTAGATCACCACACTTAGCATACATGTCAATAAGACCATTACCTAAACTGATATCCACTAGCATCCTAAATTTTATACTCACACAATGAATTGCCCTTCCTTGACCAAAGTTTTTCACATGTAAAGAAGCTGATACCATAAGCAACAGAGTAGTGGAATCAAACCCACATTGTGCCTTCATCATTTTCTCAAGGAACTCCATTGCTGTTCTATAGTAATTATTTTCAAGAGATGCAGCAATAATAGCATTCCAAGCAATCACATCTTTGTTGTGAATCTCATCAAACAAATCCCTTGAAGAGGTAAAGTCCCCAACCTTAGAATAAACAGTGAGTAGAGATGTTGAAGTGGAAACGTGAGCCAAAGCACCTAACTTTAAGACTGCGCAATGGGCAACAGTGGCAGTCACAATTTTGGGTTTTTTGAGGGACAATTTAATGTAATCAATAACAACCTCAAAATGGATATCTCTCAAATGTAGAGATCTTTGTTGCATTTCGTCAAACAGGTGAATGATAGTGCAGAAACAACGACAACAACATGACAACAAGGCAGGTGCATATGGAAGAATGGGAACCCTGCATCGTTGAACAATGCTGAACTTCCCATTTTGGAAGCTCTGTGAAAAAAGTGAATGGGATGATGACGACGTTCTTGGTCCAAGCAAGGCTAAATTTCTATAGCCCCATCTTGTTATGAGCTTTAGTGGCAATCGGAAAACTACCCATGTTCTCATTTTTACTTCACTCTGGATTGTAGCTATGAAAAACCCCGTCTTGCCCTCAAGAACGTGAAGTTGAGAACTATGCAATTTGGTTGGCTATGCATAGCAGTAGAATGGTTCCTACGTAACAGGTCCCACGTAGAAAAGATTGGAGCAGTGTTTTAACGTTGTTAAACTATGATATTTTGCATTAATGACTGTGTGCGTTTGGTCTTGTCCCAACATTAACACTAGGATTGAAACTAGTTCAATTAATAGTGGTTCTTATAGTTGTTGAAGTGGAGCCTCTTGAACTCCAAAGCAGCATGATGATAAAAATTTAATTAGGGGCATCAAATGCTTTTGTTTTCAACTATATGGATTTTGGTAAAACAAATGATAATTTGGGTTTTAATAAAATATTTTATGAATTAAGGAGCTTTAGGAGTTTTATTCTCAACAGCTAAAAAGCTTATCAGATGACCAAAAGCAGAAATGCTAACATTAATTTTCCGGTTTGAAATAAAGGGGAAGAGTGGTACATTTGGATGTCTCCAGTTTTTTTTTTTTTTTTTTCAATTACAAGCAATTCAATATGGACTGACTCATAAACATTAAAAAAACTGCAACCTTATCTAAGAAACAGCTTCAATTTCTCTGATTTGCAATGCTGGAAACTTGATACAAAACGTGTTCTTCCCATCCCATTGTTACACAAGAACCACTTTGCCTCATCTCTATAACAACCAACGTCCTCAAGGTGGATACAGATTCTTTACTTGAGTAAAAATCTTGGTCTTGGCAATGATTTGGAAACTAAACCACCTTCAATTAAATATCTTTCACGTGTCTTCTGTCCGTAGTGTTATAACAAAAATCATCCTGAAGTTGACCTCACCAAGGTGGATGATCATCCGCGGAAGTTTGAGGAGGGATTGGCTTCCATTCAGGTTTCTCATCCCAGTACATATCATAATATATGTGACCAGGTGTGTGTTCTAGCACGCAGCACCATATACCCACATACCGTTTAACACGGTTTCTGAATTTATCTTCCCTTTCCTGATAAAAAAAATGTATGGCTCAGAGTATAATAAACATGAATTGCTTCGCATCTTTGATGCAAAAATAAAAGGTGAAACTTCAAAAGAAGAGAGTAAAATGGCCCTTGCCTTGTCAATGAAACCGGTAAAAGCATCTTGCATTGAAGAGAACTGGATCACTTTTATATCCTTGAATGATGAAAACACTTTCATGTACTGCAAATTCAAGTAGAAATACGAGGTTCAATAGACTATAAATTGAACCCTGAAAATTGAAGAGTCAATTTGTAGTTCTCGGAACCCTCATCCACCCCCAAACCAAAAATAAAAAATTTAAACAACCATGAAATTATTATTATTTGACAAAAGAAAAGGTTCAATTTTGATGCCATGAGGTTGTGGTAAGGGTGGTTGCTGTTTACATGAAAAGAACCTCCCATTTTGCTATTCTTAGAAGTACAATGTGGACACAAGAGACTAGTCATAGTAAATGTTTGGGTAATTGGTGCGGAAATAGTCTTCAGTTTAACGTATTTTGGAGGAATTACTTTTGAATGAAGAAAGAGTTTTATGTTTGGGAATAATCATCCGAAAGATATTTTGGGTAAATTATACAGATAATAACGAAATCACTTTTGCTCGAAGTATGATTTTCTTACTTCCAGGTTCCAGCATAAATTAATTTTCAGGTTGGCAGTCACACAGGAAATGGCCACCAAAATTAATTTTCAGATGCCATACATATCATTTAACTATAAAATTTCTTCCACCATGTTTCTCTAAGTTAGCTTTCTAACTAACTCCTTATCCGTAATGCAGGTTAATGAATAGACTTGGTATAATGTACTTTGAAGGGTTGATTTAGAAGAACTTAAAAGTTTTGAACGGAAAAAACCATTAAGTGGATCAATTTTAAATACCGTTTCTTCATTGCTGTGCTTTGGAAATTTGAGTACTCCTCCAACATCAGTATTATTTGATGATGCAAAACAATCTTGGGTTCCTTCCTTACAGAGCTGAACATCAAGCCATGATGATTTCACCTGAACTCAAGAACCAAGGCACAGGTTTCCAGAGTAAGATATAACAAGAAAGGAGAATTCAGGGTTAGATATGTAGATGGAAATGACATTTATTCACCTCTGAGGGGAGGGAGGGATTATCAAGTATTGAGTACTCTCTAATATCTATTCCAGGGCCAAACTCATCCTCTGGGAGTTCTTTCAACATGACGTTCACCTGCAGTAAAGCATGTTTGTGTAACAGATGAGTCGTGGCAGAAAATGTTGATTATGTAAACTAATGTGCACAGGGAATAGAAAAGGGTTATATTCTGCAGTACTAATCTGCAGGGCTCTTCTCCCAGTATCCTACTTAAATGTCTTTCATGAACTAGTATGTGAAAAAGACTACATCTAATTCATCAAATTTACTCAAAATTCAGGATTTTGGAGGAGCAAGAGGAAAAATCAAGGGGCCAAAATCCCTCCTTTATTTTACTTTCCTTCCCTTCTTTGAACCAAAAAGCCCTCAAGAAACTGACATTTTATATGGCTTATATGTCTTTTGAAGTCCGTTGTCCTCAATCAGTTTTTCACATCTAAAGCAAGTACTACTGTCACCTATATTGTTGACCTTTCTAACTCGATTCATGTGAATGTGATATGTAAAACATATATTTTGAAAGCTTTGCAAAGGACTAAGTTATGCTCAAAATTTATAAGAGTGTTGTTATTCATCAATCCAGATGTTCTAAAGAATAAATGAACAATAACAGTTTATGAACCACTTGATCAAACTGGATATACCTCGAATACATGATCCAAAGGACAGAGAAAAGGTTGTCTAGTCATAGACCCCTCCAAAACACCAGGATGGGGAAACCAGAGCCTATCAATCCTGCACCATAGTGGTGGCATGACCTAAGTATACACATAAAGAACACAGGTCAATATCAAATTATATAATTCATGAAGTGAAAGTGCATTACAAAAGAGAAAACGTCAATCTAATCACTGAACAGTCATCAAATTAGTCCCTCAATATTTTTTTTTCCGATTTTTTTTCACCGAATTAGTTCCTCGAAGATGAAAAATGACACCATATTCAAACCTTATTAGGATTAAAGTGGTGATAAAAAGAATCTTCAAGGAATTAATTTGGAGAAAAAAATTAGGAACTAATAAAGTGGTTATGTAAAGAAACTTTGAGGGACTAGTTTGACAACAAAAATTTTTGGAAAACTAATTTGGAAACGCATGTAATTTTGAAGCACTAGATTGAGGGTTTTCTCATGTTTTTCACAGAAGTTCTACCAATAGTGGTGCAAAGAATCTGAATCCTGTACCCAAATATAGCACAGAAAGATGCAAAAAAAAAACTATATAAATTTATAACCCTAAATCATGTATTAACATTGGTCAATACATGTCAAGATCAATATATTATGAATTTCAGTAGATAAGGTTTATAAATAAAAAAGAATAATGACATAGACAATTCATTTCAGTAACAAATAAGAAACTCTATTTAAAGGAAAAATAGGTACCAAATGCTAATAACAACAATCCGTGTATTATACGATCTTATGATTTCAATCAGTGGTGCAATAGAAATTCAGTTGAGGAAACATGCAGTAATTTCTGTTCTGCCACATAAAATAAATGATATATACACATTCATTTGGCTTGTGTCAAGCACATAATGAAATAGAAATACGCAATTGCAGAGTTAAATAAAGTAACAAGCTAGTTTGGAATTCTAATATTATGGATTTGTTAGATTGTGAACTTTCTACCCCAACATAAGACTGTCAAACAAATTTATTGAGTAATATAGGGCCAAAAAAAATAAACGTTCATTGCAACTTTCATGTATTGCTAATGGGTTGATAACTTAATAGGAATTGTAAGAAATGTTAATTAACAGTATTTTATAATAACTATGATGCTTAAGAGTGCTGATGATGAGACATTTTCTCTTCAACACATAATAATAAAAATTTTATGATCCCAGAAAATCGTTCTCACCAGTGTTCTGTTCAGAAGGGAAGCAATTGCAAGTGCTGTCCTAATCTGTTTTATCTGGACAAATTCATGCACAACATAAGTTATGAAATGTAACACCACAAATTCTATTGAAAATGCAGAAGTGAAAAGGATCAGGTCAATACATGCATACTTGGTAATTAACAAGCGTGAAATGTGATCCAATGGTGTGATTTCCACTTAGCAACAAGCTTTTTGGAATAGATGGCCTGAATGACAAGAAACCCCCTGCAAAAACTCCTCCAAAATTTAGGTTGCAGTATTTTCATGAAAAGGAGTCAACATATAAACCATAAGCAGATATTGCAACTAATGCATACACATTAAGTGCCATTTTTTGGTTTTCAGTATCAAAGATATGAAAGTATGATGCAAGCTTGAATGGTAAGGTAGAAACCTCACAATGCAAGGCCTAAGCAACAATCAATAGTTAGCTGGGATCTATGTTCGGGTCTCCCATATGTGGGCTTAAAATCCCAAACTTGAGTTTGCTACTAAAATTATTTGTTTGAATGTAGAATTATTTTTGTTCCTACATGCAGAATTGACTAGAAGCAAAAAAATGTAGCTTTCATGTTAGGATGGTAACTTTATACTAACTTTTATTACAAACTTGCTTTTGAGATGAAAGTTTCTAATCATAAATCACTTCACTTTAAATTCACTTTTTAACGAAAATCAAGTTTGCAAATATCCACCTTAGCACACTAACAAGACAAAACAGAATTAGTGTATTCACATTTCACACATACCAAAAAGAAAACGAAGCAAATGATATGCCTAATCAAAATTGAGGGACCATTAACTAATTACCAGGAGGATTATAATATTCTGGTGGATCACGGAAAAGCATGGCTTCTCGCAGTCGATGGCGCTTTCCTTCAGTGCCTGCATACTGAAATGTTGTGTGCACAGCATATGGCTCCAATCTGAGTTGCTGATACATAGCCTACAATCATGATATACAAGTAAGTTCTCAGGAAAAACACGCACAAAATTCGTTTCTTTACATCACTGGGTCAAAGCAAGATTTGCTCATACTGTAAACTGTGTAAAAGAAAACAAAACGTAGATACTACGAAAAATCAGAAACGAAGGAATTCAAATTCGTTAACTAGATACCTGGACAAAATACGTATGTCCACTGCAGAAGATACTTGAAGGCAAAATTCCCAGCTTTAGATTTCCATCATAAGCATAAACAAGTCCACTGTCCTCATCAACAGATGGTCCTAATTGTCTGTGTACAATTTCATTAAAACCATTCTGATCCCATATCTTGTCATCAGCTAGAAGCAGTTCTTTCCATTCCTTTGCCAATTTTATTGCAGATTCTGTAGGTCTCCAATGAAAAATTCCTATGTTGTAGGCGGCACCAACTATACAATGTGATAGATACCATCATCAATACTGTATCCATTCCCTTAAAGCTAAGAAAGTGCAACAATAATCCGATAAAATGAGATATGAAGAGGTGCCATTTGTAAATAAGAGCATTGACATTCAAAACAAAAATAAGGGGGGGAAAAAACTTCAAATTTTGCTATTTAATTAGTAAAATTAGCTTTATTCCAAAGAATGAACATGAACTTCACTTCGATAATGTTTTGTTTCTAATTAGAGAGAAGACACATAATATAATAAAAACTTGACACTCTTAGACATAGTTTTCATGCTAGAAATGTATTTTGCCAGCTTCTAATGTAAAGCCATAGCAAGAGGGCCAGATGAAACTCTAAAATAATGACTGAAAACTGAGTTTGTAACTTTGAATAAATTGACATAAAAGTTTCTCTATCATTCATATATGGAACATTTTCAAGCCATAGACGTCATTTGATTTTAATTTGCAAATAATATGTTAAAGTTTCTTTATCTTTCATAACAATGGGAAGTGAAGAAAATAAGCAAAAATCAATATGGGCACAGTAAAAAACATTCAAAATATAATATTCACCTTCTTGCCAAATTTCCAGCCTATCATCTACAACTGTTGGTACAACTTGATCACTGGATGTTAAAACATCTGCTCCAGGATAACGAGCAAGATATGGAAGTGGGTTCTGCTCCACACAATTTAATATAAAAATTTTAGGAATAAAATATATCTCAGAAGAATAATCACATAATACACTTGGAGAACTCCTTAAAGATGAGTACAGAGGATGATTATGCACATTAAATATCAGATAAAATGTCATAATAATGACAAAAAAAGTATGAACAAGATAAAAAGGAACACTAGAAAGAGGAATAGACAATTAATGAGCAAGGAAAGAAACTACACAATTCATGATAGAAGAAAGAAAAACGGAAACAACCTAATCAATATGCATTTTACATACAGCTCCTTCTAAAATTTGAATCATTCATACAAAAACAAAGCTAGCATATGAATCACCCTCATAAGTAAATATATTTTGAGAGAGGGAGAAAAGCACCTTCAACCAAACCATGTCAGTATCGCACATCAACAGCTCGTAACCAAAAGGTAGTATCAAGTTTATTAGTATAACTTTTTCTCTCCCCATTTTATGAAATGTTGGAGAGCCCCAGCCGACATCTGCGGTACTCATATGGCTGCCCATGTCAAAAACTGGTACTCCTTTCCAATAAAGTGCCTCCAATAACTTGGTATCCATTGCTCCTAAAAGGTAGATTTGAAACCTTTTTTACAAAGTCTAATCAACTGTTTAAAATAAAATATATGTCTCTAGCAAGGGCAACTACAAAAATTAACAAAATATATGATAAAAAAAAAGATGGAAATCTTAAATCGACAACACTCACCAACAAGATAATTCGACAGTCCCAGATCATTCAACTGTTGAACCCAAGTCAAAATAAAATCCATGAATGCATAGTTACCAAAGGTCACTATTATAATGTTGTCTTTCACCCTTTGCTGAACCAGTTCTTTGGTCAATTGGAAAGCCTTCAAAGATGGCATCTTTTTATTTCGTGGAGGAGCATCCAAAACAGGTCTTGTCCACACATTCCGTGGTTCCTGGGGAGGAGGGGGCACAACATTCGCAGTTGCTGATTGAGAACCGTTGAGCATTTGTTCTGCAGGACTAGCATCCTCATCTGCAAAGCATGCACACACAAGGATTGAAATCACACCCACAAATAAAATTAAAAGAAAAATGGCTTTCTAAAGTTTGACCAAAGACACGCAAAAAAAACCTACATTCAGTAAGATTTTATTAGAAATCACATGATATTACAAGATCTAATACATTGACTACATTAGATGCTACAATTTCCAATAAAAATTTACTATTTATTACTTTTTAATTGTGCGTCTGTCAGAAAAACTGGAAAAAAGAAGAAAAAAAGCTTGATGAATTGAAAAGTGTCATAAACAGAAGGCAGCACTAACAACGAAAGAGTAGTAAAGCAAGCAAGAGAAAGAGGGTATTTCGCACCAATGTGACATGCTGCAACTTATGACCCACTAAGGAATACCAATAAAACATGTAAAATTAAAAAGGGGGAATTTCACATTGAAGGCAAAAGTACAAAGTAAGGGAAAAAGGTAAGATTTTTAAGGAACGAAAACATGTATGAATGAAAGAGTGAAAAGGGTTACTTGAAAGGGACCAAGCAGAAGGGTTGGTGGAAGAGTAGCGTATGGCGGAGAAGATGTAGAGAGAGGAAAAGACGATGCCAACGATGACAACGGTGTAGATCGTGAGGAACAGAGGCCTCGAATGAGCCACTTCCTCACACGCCATTAAACTCTGTCTGATTCAGAAGGAAAGTGAAAGTACCAAAACAACTTCTTCTGGGATGGTTATGTTAAGGTCAACGACTGTGGTTCTTAATTGATTCATATGCTTATGCTCGAGTTTTCAACGTGAACCAAAAAGAACATGAAAATGAAACCTTGCCTAAACGAATCTCAACTACTTCAATTCACTTTTTAATGGATTCGGAGCGACATAAAATGTGGTAAATGAAAAAGAATGTACTTACCGCTTATAGATTAGCTTATTTTCTTTTATTTTTTTGAACTAAAAAAGTTTCTTTCTTTTCCAATAGAAGAACCAATCAATGAAGAAGAGGAATACATTTATTATTGCTGTATTACAACATTCATTCTGTACCTTAGTCTTTCAAATACACTTTTTAATATTGATTAAAGTTTATTAAAAATCAATCTCAATTAATCATCAAAATACTTAACGAGAAAACTGCATTATTGTCTGATCATTACTGAAAGATATCAAAATAGAGTAAAGACTTCAATTTATGCATCGTTCATTGAATAGAATGACACAGAAATAAAGTTGCCATAAAAATTATAAATAATACAATTTGTTGGATCCTCTCCTCTACGATTCATTGTATATGTACTCTCCTTTAATATTTAATAAATTTGCATCTTATTGTAAAAGAAAATTTATAAAAATTATGTGAGGTTTAGTTTAAATTTACTTTTTTAATAAATATTAATAAATTTTATCTAATAACAAAAAACGCATTTTATTGATATAATCCCACAACTCTATTATAGTTAACGAATAATTATATATTTTTCTATTAAAATATTTTTAAATTCTTTAACTTATGATACTTGTTCAGATTTGTCTGTAACTTTATGACAAACAAAATGTGTTATTTGCTGGAAATGGTCTAACTATTTTTTTTTTATGTCTGAAAAGTATTAGTTTCATAAATAAAGATTAAAATATCATTTAAAAAAAACCAAGTCCCAAAATCCTAAATACTGTGTGTGTTTATAAATTTGTTTGATAATAAGATAATACAACATTTTAAAAAATATACATATAAATTTAAAAAATGTTTTTTAGAAAATTAATTAGAATAATGTTAAATTTTAAAAATAAATCATAAATAATTTATTTATCACTTTTATCTTTGACTTGTTAATTGCTCTATCAGTAATTAATTGGTTATTGATAAATAAAAAAATACCTAATCATTTAATTAAATGTTTAATTATAAATAACAAGTAAAATGAGTATTGTTTAATTTTAATATTAGTTAACATAAATTATATATTTTTTGAGTCATTTAAGCACATTTTACTTAATTATATAGTTAATTTTATCAAGTAATAATAATAATAATATTGTGTATGCCTTTTTTTTTTCGGTCGTGTATAATGTGTATGTTTTGTGTGATTGAAATTTATTTGTTTATTTTGATCCACAGATTTTAATTTAATTTATAATCGAAAACCTCTAAAGAATATCCATTTACTGTATCGTTCCTTCTGCAACAAAAAAAAGGTATCATTCCCACTTAATTGTGAATGCCTAATTATTAGAAAATAGCATAAACTTTTATTTTGAGACAAGAAAATTTGGAGGTGCAAGTAAGAGAAGGCGAACAAAAGGTTTTTGGGCTGAAGTTGGGCTGATGGGTTATTACTTAGAAAAAAGCCCAACATAGGTCTCATTTTGCGTGATATGCATCCACTTTGAACACTTGGGTCATCATAAACCCAAAATATGTTGGGCCCAGCATCGCTCAATATCAACATTTTAACAATATGACTTTTGTATTTGATTCTCTTTACATTCTTCTTTCTCGTGTAGTCTTGCTCCTTTGTGACCCATCCATCACTCATACTATGTTTAGTGTTTTTTTTCTTATTATTATTTGATTTAAGAATCGTAATTGGTACAAGATTTGACATGAATAGAGAGAAAAAAAAAACTCATTAAATTAACATGAATCTAAATAAAAGTATTTATCTACAAAATATCTTAAATATACCTTTCTATCTAAGTCATGCCCGTATCTAGATATTATTCAATATGTTAAGTTTAAAATAAAAATGAATGTTACACAAATTATTATATATAACTAATCAGTGTTGGTTCTTGTATATTAGAACATACAAGCACCGGTTTTTATTTATTCATAAATTGGTTATTTCATAAGTTTATCACGAAAATTTAGTTTATTTAAACTATTTTATGTTTTACAAGTAATTAACATGTGTTATATTTCTAATTATTTTTTACAGTTGAAATTTAATTGAATATTTTGTTTGTTATGTGTTTTATTTAAGATGATAAAACATTGTTTTGTCTAACTAAATATGTATGAGAATAAAGATACCTATCAGGTGGATATTATCACCATTAACCCTTTATTTATTTGAGAAAAAAAATAAAAATTTGAATTGAAGAGAAAATAAAAAATTATTTTTTAAGACTAAATTTTTAATTAATTTATTTTTCAATTATTGTTTTTCTTACAAATATAACTAAAGAATAAATTTTTATAATTTCTTTTAGTTTTAAATTTTCAAGATTGAGTTTAAACATTTCAAAATAATAATTTTATTTTAAAATGTTATTACATTAAAAATTTAAAAGTGTCATAAATACTTTTTTAACAATGTTTTTATTAATAATTAATTAATTAAATTATAAAAATTGAGTCAGCAAAACTATTTTTTTGATAACTATATTTTATTCTCTATAGTTTATAAGGTAAATTTAATTAAATTATATAAATTAATAAAAGTAGTTAAATTTAAATTTTTTTTATTTTAAAACTTTTACAACATTATAGAGTGTCAACATTTATTCTTATTGACTTACATTTAAATATTTATCAACTTTATTTATTAAAAGTAAATAAGAAAATATAATAAATGTTTAATAAAAATATAAAGTGTCATATAAAAAATCATTACAATTTTATAAATGTATTATAAAAAGACAAAATTTAGAGATAACGTTGTAAATAATTTGTGTATTATTCTCTAATTAAGATTAAATTTTCACTTTAATAATATATACCAACTTTTAATGATAACTTTTACTGCTTATTTTATTAAGACAAAACTTGATATGATTAAAGAATATCATAAAAAGTATTTATATTATTATAGTTTTGTTAAATTCAACTCTTGAAACTGAATTTAAACAGGCAATATTAGTAAAATTTTATTAAAAATAGATACACTTCAATACAATAGATATGCACATTTTTAATAAAAAAAATTATTTTTATAAAAAATTCAATAAAAATTGATGTCTTTGATGGGAAGCTTGCAAACTATGGGATTAAGGTGAGTTAGAATAATAATATGATCCCTTCTTAGTGCTACTGAATTGGTAGCATAGACGTGGCTTCCAAGCAATAATCTATGCACGTATTTAGGTTCATCATTCATGCTTATTAATGTGCTTTATTCTTAAACCCTGCTCAATTCACCAACTAAGAGGTTATTAATAACACATATAATTCAATTAAACTATATGAATCAAGTGAAATGTTGTGTAAACAAATAATAAAATAAATTAATATATCACTAATAAAAAATGATAAATATTTAAAAGACTAAAATATTGTTGAAAAGATAATAAAGTAATTGAGCTTAGCTGGTGTAGGCACAACAACTATATTTGTTAGCAATTTCTGTGGATGCATTAAATGCAAACTGGCTTTGTCTTTCTTTGACTGAATGCCTATTTTGAATAATAAAAATGACTTACAAAGGATGCTTCCCTCAGTTCAGTGGTATGTCTACTAACAAGTCAGTGTTTCCATGCATTTGTTTCTCTAATATACTTTGTGTACAAATGTACTTCAAATCTGTACTCCATCAAAGTCTCTCTCTCTCTCTCTCTCTCTCTCTAAAAATAATAACAAGAGGATTTGAATTTATTTAAGCACCTTAACTCAATTCAAAATAACTTAAAACATGTGTCTATAGTTGCATTCATTTTTAATTATAAGTGCCTTACAAACTGTCAAACTCACTTAAAAAATATCTGAATTCAAGAATGATTATTGAATAACCTTGTCAAAGTGATAGACCATGCACATGCATTCAATAGTCCATACTATCTTTATAAAAATTCTAATTTCATGGAAACAACCCTTTCTAATGGAAATTAGTTTCCTGAATGGTCAAAATGCGTTAAACATTATATTGGTTTTTATAAAATATTAAAATAGAAATTTAAAGAGGAAAGCTTTTATTTTTGGTGAAATTGGATATTTTGGTTGGTGATTTTTGAGTATATGATAGTTTAATTGATTTAATTTGTAATTTGTTTATAGATATTTAGAATTTGAAAGCTTCAGATAAAAAAAATCAATGAAGGCCAAATTTACTAAATTTTAAATGTATAAAATTTTTAATTGACTAAAAGAACAAAAAATAAAAATAACCCATAATTTAAATTAAAAAATTAAATTAATTTAATCAAAATGCGTTGACCAATATATATTTTTACACTCATTCAATTATGGATTGTCATGTTAATAAAAATTATTAATTTTTATAATAATTAATATATAAATCATATCTATTATGTATTTTAATTAATTAACGATATAAAGATATTTACATTGAAAATATTCCAAAATCAAACTAGTAAAATCTATATACTTATTTTTTAAAATATTTTTCTAATGATTTTGATTACTTAAAAGCTTATATTAATCTTTTTCCTGTAATAAGTTAACACAATCTGTGGTGCGAAATTACATTTGCTGCATTAACCCTAACGATACTCTTGTTTAAGAATAATAAAGCATAAAAAATTAATAAGTTGATATACTCTTATTAATGAGTTACATATTTAATATAAACAATGCACATTTAACATAAGTAAAGAGGAATAAAATATTTTATTAAAATAATAATATGATATTAAGCAAGAGAGTGCTAATCCCAACATTAATACTTCAAGGAAAGTAAGAGCTTTCTATGCAACCTTGCTTATAATTAAGGTTATGAAATTAGTATAAAATTAATCAAGTTAATATTAAGATTGTTGCTTGACATATTCCGAGTCATATGAAATAAATAACATTGGAGTTGACCAAGCTAGCTCTATGTTACTATAATGAATATGGTTTAGCATGACCTGACGAGTACAGTGATGTGGATTATGCATCGTTAGGGAATATATTTTTCTATCTTCAATTCAT